TTTGAGGAAGTTGGCCCTTTCCTCTCACCTTAAATCTCCTTTGACTTTCACTGAGACTAAAACACAAGTCACAAGAAGAGATCAGGGCAACAGGGAAGATTGGCCGATGTCCTCCTCGATGCTGTGCCCTGCGGTGCACTGAAGCATTGAGGAAGGGGCCCTGTGAGGATAGACTGACCATTGACTCCTGAGATGCGTCCGCCAAACCATCATGCACATTGCTACGCTGGGCTGGCCTCCCCACTGGTTATCTGATGTTAATGCACAGTAATGGTGCTGTCACTTCCATAAAGATATCAGAGAGACCCAAAGGCTTTCTGAGTCACAGCGATGAGGTGCTTGCCTTGCTCACAGGGCAGCACTAGCTGGAGCGAGGACAAGGATGACGGAGCGCGTTAAGGGAGGAGGAACACAGGACAGCAGAGACCCCGAAAGGCACAGCGGCCGGTCTGTGTGTGTTGTGGGCCACACGCTGCTTGGGTGTCTGTGGATACCTGCATGCAACTCTGCTCTCACTCAGCCCTCACCTTTGTTGGAGGGGAATTGCTTCCCCACTCTGCCTGTTTGTCCTCTGCTGGGGTAGGGACAATACCCCTCCAAGGAAATCAGTTGTGAAATCAGTTGGGGTTTATTCACTCTTTTCCTGGTGATACTGAGCAATGGGGTGCAGTTCTTCCACAGCCTGCCTTCCTTATGCAGAAAGGAAAGGCCTTCGTTATGGGGGCAGGAGCCCTGTGGTTTGAACTCCTGGCTTCATATCCTGCTTCTGCTGCAGACCTCCTGTGTGGCCTTCATCTGCTGTCTGTACCTTGGTTTCTCTACCTGAAAAATGGCACTCACAATGATCCTTGTCTCCTTCAAATGGGACGGGGGCGGGGGGGGAATGAATTTCTAAGCAGCCTTTAGAACTTTGCTGGAACAGTGCTAGGTGGTAATGTTGCTAATGTTTCTGTGTGAGGCTGAACTACCCTTTCACCCTGAAGGATGGTCCTTCTGGGCAGGATGGAGGTACCCTGACACATCAGTGGAAAGATGTGAGCAGGAGGCTTGAGCACTGAGGCTGGCACCAGTCCATCATTGCTTGCCTTCCTGATCAGAAAGAGAATCCAAATGTGCAAATTGGCATTTAGATGCATGTGTTCTGCACAGCTAGAAGTGGTTGTGATTACCAGACAGGGCATTTCTAACTGGCCAGCAGAGGACCAGCCCATGGAAAAACTGGAAAAGCCCAAGACCCCTGAACCTCATTCTGCCAGTGGCCTCGGATGCCTTTTGCTTCCTGAAGTCCCAGAGGAGCCAGCCTGCATTGCGTGTTTCATGCTCTCTGCCTCTGACCCACTTAACGCTATGAGGTTCCCCTGCCTTGCACCTGAGGGGCTATTCTGCATCACTTACTCATAATTAATAGAGAGCAAGCCCTGCCGTCCCTAGGGGCTTGCTCCCTCTCTCCAGCCTTCGCAGTCTGAAAGCTGAGGAAGCAAGAGGTAGTGGTCGCTGCTCCTCCTTGGAGGCTGTGGCTACTGGGTGGTTGAGATGACAGCTCGTGCAGGGCCTCAGGCTAAGCATGGGGAGAAGGGTCTTCTGGAGAAGAGAGAAACATTGTATTTTGGGTGAAGAGAAGCGTTAACTCTGGCACCAAATCCAGACCTGTGATACAGCCTTTCTTCTCTGCTTACCTATTCCTATATCATCTGGATCTGTATCTCCCTCTTGCTGACATTGATTTCACCTGAATTCTGTTTCGAATTTGGCCCTTTTTGAGGCACCCTGGCTTAGGGAGCCCCAGGGTTGAAAACATGGCCTTGAAGTCAATAGCTGAGCTTCCTCTGACTTTGGGCCAGGATTTTTCCAGCAGATCCATGATCTGAAGAGTGCTCCAAGAGTGGGATCATTTCCTTGAAAGCAGAGAGGAAGCCTGGACTCAGTGCCCTTTTTTTTGTATGCTCATCAGACCCTGGGGGATGGGGTGGGATGAAATTTAGACACTGTCTCACCAGCAGGGCTCTCATCACCACCTCTTCCCTGGAAAGCTGCAGTGCCTCTTCTCCCACCCAGGATATCCTCACTGCTTACTGAGGGGGGCACAGGAGATGTGGATGCTGTGCTTGGTAGCATCAGAAGGCCTTTAATGCTCTGCTGGTCAGCATAGCTTTGGAGAAAGCGAGCTGCATTGGCTGCGTGTGAAAGGGAGCAGCACAGGCAGAGAGGCTGCAGGCTGTGGAGGGGAAGTGCAGTTGTGTTTGGAGAGAGAAGCTGCACTTCCCACCTGGATGTGGTGGAGAAGCTGAAGGAGGGCAGGGGGACCTCTGTCCCCTCCCATGTGATGGCCCTTGTTGCATGTGGCTCGGGAAGGTTTGTGCGTCCAGCGGGCTGCGGAGCGTTAGCAGCAGGTGGGAAGCGAGGAGAAGTGCAGGGGAGGGGGCCAGGGTGGGAGGAGGTGGCCCCATGCTGGCCTGGCAGGATGTGCTAGATGTTAATGGGAGATTCTTCAGAAATGAACAAATAGGTTAATTTTTAATGCTCGGCTAAATAATTTAATGAGGAAAATTAAGCTCAGCTAGTGAGGCAGGCAAAGCCGGATAAATCACTGGCTTAAGTCCTCCATGCCACACGTGTGTTCATGTGTGTGTGGGGGGGGTGGGTCTGTGTGGTAGAGGCATGCAGGGCTGCCTGTGCACGGCCTCTGCTTGACCCTTGGGACCTGGGGTGCACCTGGCCTCCATGGCTCTGGGGCCACCCGGGCCTGCACAAGTATGGCTTCCTTGGACCTAGGTATCTTCTCTGTGCACGCTGCAGTTGATGACTGGCCACAAAAATTTGCATTTCCAGCGTTTGCTGTGCAAACCAGGAGCGTGTCCTCCCTCCTGTGCCCTTGCTCCCTTCCTGCCTTGGATGGGAGGGGAAGGGCTGACCATCGCTGCTGTACAGACTGAGCTCTTCATCCGAGACCTGCGTACAGAGCTGAGAAGCCTCAGCGATGCCTCAAGGCCTGTGGTGTTGAGTTAAAGCAACTGTGGACTCTGTCTGCATTTGTAGGCTCACCCCTCTTGCTTGAGGGGGCCTTTGGTATTTCATTTGTCTTTAATGGCAGCATGGGACAGCAGGACGAAAGCTGTGGTGTTGTGCCAGGTGTGGAAGCCTCCAGGTGTCCAGTTCTCTGCAAGGAGGCCCCCACCTGCCTCTACCTGGCTGGGTGACTTCCCCTTCCGTAGGCACCTGCTGCTCTTCCCCACTCCTCGGCACTCATTGCTGCCCTTTACCCCCCTCTTCCAGAGCAGAGGAAGACCAGCCCAGGACCAGACCTCGCTCTGGCAGCTTTCAAGCCCACTAGAGCTTGCAAGGGTGCTGGAGCTGCGCAGCCTTTGGCTGGGGGCTTGGCCGGGCACTGGGTGCTGCATTGGGGGGTGAGAGAAGCTGTGGCCACGGGTGCAGAGCCACCGGGCACCAGACTTGGTCCCCCCGTGGCAGCTCCCCTGCCGCCGCTGCTGCCATGCTGGTGTCCTTGTGGCCGGCGGCGGCCC